TTTATTTATGTCAGTTTTCTACTTCTAAGCATCCGTTTCCCGAATCGTTTCTTAATGAAACATGCAGACAATTTTTATTTTAAAACAAAACTCGACTTAAAACTGAATTACAAGTACTGTATCAGAGAGACGAATTAAGTACTACCTCTGGGGGTGCTTCGCTATCAGTTTTATTAAATAAAGAAGGTTTAAAATGTACATTTGAAGAAACTATTAAACTTTGAAGTATTTTAATTACCATTACTATGTCAACATCTGAAGCAGAATGCTGTTTTTCGATGCTAAAACGAATTACAATATTCCTTAGAAATATTATGAAGAAAGAACGACTTAGTGCTTTAGGTATGCTATCTATAGAACAATATTTGTAAATGGCATTGATAATTTTAATAATAGTTATTGAAATTTTGCAACCAAAAGAGAAAGAAGCATGGACTTTATTTATAGGTAACTTTAAAAGTGGTATTAAACGACTTTATGCGTGTGTGTAAATAATGAAATAGTGTAATATTCATAATTTTGTAAATAGACTCTAGAAACTCAATCATAATAACAAACTACAAGCACTATCAGCAGTAAGTACTGAAGGTAAGTTGAGTTTTTTTTATTGTTAATGAATTTATAAAAACTGTTTTGATAAATTTTGGCCAATTTCTTGGCACCCCAGAAATAGTAGATACCTACTTAATGTAAAAGTATTTCTATTTATATAAAATTTCTATTTTGTACCTTTTGTGACAATATCGTGAACCCGTCACTAAAAATTTAGGTCTCTGCCCGAATTCTGGCACTACCTTCTTAAAGTGATAAGAGAAGTCACTGGGGAAGACCTGTGATAACTTCTAAAGATGCTGTTATTGTACTTCTAGGCTCATGTCATATTTAGAACCGCTTGCCTTTGTAGGGTGGTGCTTGCGCTTCAATCTTTTAATCCCAAGTAAAATAATATATAAATCACTATTTGTCAAAATGTAACATTATATCTATATTTAGATTAAATGGATAGACTTGTTGATTTTCAACGTACTTTCTTTTACTTATCTATATACATTTAGTACAAAAATCATTTTTAAATTTAAGTATAACATCACATATAGACTAGAAAACCCCAATTTATAGGATACGAATAATATATAACTTAAAAATAGTAACAAAAAGTATCTTCAAGAATTCTACTACCATTTAAGCCAAAACCTGTCAAAAAAGTAATTTATTATATCGTAGAGTGAAATAAATTTTGAGAACGATTTCCGAAGTGGAAATCAAAACGTTATAATAAACTTCTTTTATAGTAAAAAGTGTGGCTTATTCCCAATAAAAATAGTAAATTAAATAAATATTACTTCACTGCTTTATCTGCATCGCCCGTATCATTTAACCTTCTGTATGCACAATTTCTATTGTACAAAATCACGGTAATTTTTCTTTTGGGTAACTTGATTCCCAAATAGGAGATACTCCTAAGAATAAAAGCATTTATTTAACTCGACATACACTTCCTGTGACATTCGCCAGATCATTAAATAATAATTTACAACCACAAATCGTTTCACAACCTTGATATAATTATAGAAGAAACATTTTAATAGTTCAAAGTGTATCGTCGATGGTAATTGGTCTGTAGGAAATAAAGCTCTATTTGTTCTATGTCTCAATATTTCGTCACGATTTTGTGACTTCTTCAGGAGAAAACTGTAAATTTATTATAATAATTATTGTATGTAAACAAAGTGAATATTTCAATACTTACAAATATAAGAGTAAAAATTTAAATTTTGATAACATATCTACTTAAATAACATTTTTGATTTTAATTTATTTGGGAGTTATGGTAACCGCAATATTTTATAGAGTGAATTCCCACTGTACAATTTTTAGCGAATAAGTTAAATAATATTGAGACATAAAAACAAATAGAGTTTTATTTCCTACACACCAATTGCTGATACTATAAATCAATATTTAACACATTACGGTCAAAAATAATAGTCAAAATGGTTTACAACTACACCATCTATAACGTACAATCGGATATAACAAACAAAATAGAAGGTCCCATAAAATGACTACAAAAAACGCATTTATATTGCTTATAATGAACAAATCGGTTAGAGCAAACGTATTTCTTGGAACACTAGCAATTTCAAGTACATATTTGTACCTAAGATGATACAACATCCATTTTTTTCAATTATGATATTTTTACACACTGTATAATAAATAAATAATAAATAATTATAACCAACGAATGATGTAAAATGACAGTAGATACAATGTTCAATATAATATTGTTTCCACATCTTAATAAATAAGTTTAAAAGTGCTATCCTGTAAAGTTATAAAAATGGACATTGTAGTGTTGTATTTCTAACAGGTATCACCGATATTTAGTACCACGAAATGAGAAGTAAGGATTTATTAATTTATGGTTATAGTACATCCGGGCATTACACTTGATTACTTGTTCTTTAGACATTTAGACCTCCCAAGACGGGTCCATTGTATACAAAATTTTGTTTATATTACACCATTTGGCCCAAGCCAAGAGATTCTGAATTTGGATTCAGTTGTGTCTAGCCTTCATATAAAACATGACACGGAAACAATTTACTATTGAGGAACAGTTTGGAATAATTTGCTGAGTCGATTCCGGTGATTCCGCGAGTTCGATTGCCCGGGAATTTAAAACGTCACGCTCAACAATTGCTGGAATGATGAAACGGTGAGAGAAAATTATTATGCCATTTAATAAGGCATAAGGCAAAGGAAAACGCGTTCGGTCATTAAATCACAGTGACATTGAAAGTGCTTTGCTCGATTGGTTCAAACAACAACGCGCCAACAATGTACCCGTGAGTGGGCCGATGCTTCAGGTAAAGGCTGACGCTTTCGCTGTGATTTTGAGGAAGGATTTTAAGAAGTGTAATGCTTCTTGGGTTCAACGTTTGCGAGCTCGCCACAGTGTTGTCCATGGAAAAATTTCAGGTGAGTCAGCAGTTGTTGACAGATCAATTACAAATGTCTGGGTTGAAAATGTGTGGTCTACACTCAGGTCCGGCTATAGCGATGATGAAATTTTTAATGCTGACGAGATGGGGTTATTTTTTTAGACTGACACCTAATCACACGTTAAAGTTTAAAGGGAAGAAATGTTCCGGTGGTAAACTCTTAAAAGAGCAAGTTACAGTTCTTGTTGCAGCCAACATGTCCGGTTCCATAAAAAGGAACCTTTTGGTGATAGCAAAAAGTAAAATGCCGCGCCGTTTTAAAAACGAGAGAAAAATCTCCTTGTTGATTACGATTTCAATAAAAAAGCCCGGATGACATTGGCTATTTTTGAAAAGACTTTAATAAAATGGGACAGTGAACTTTTACAACAAAAGAAACACATAATTTTATTTGTCGACAACTGTCCGTCCCATCCCAAAGTTGACAGGTTAAAACAAATTAAAATCGCTTTTCTGCCTCCAAATTGTACGTCCGTACTGCAGCCCATGGTCCAAGGAGTTATCTTCTTCTTCTTCACGTGCCATCTCCGCTACGAAGGTTGGCTATCATCATGGCAATTTTGACCCTGGAGGCTGCCGCTCGGAACAATTGTATGGAAGTGCAAGCAAACCACTCCCTGAGGTTTCTCAACCACGACATTCTTCTCCTACCTATGCTGCGCCTGCCTTCAATCTTTCCTTGCATAATTACTTGTAACAGTTGATATTTATTCCCACGTGTAATATGTCCCAGGTATTGTAGTTTCCTCATTTTAACAATCAATACGACCTCCTTTTGTTTGTTCATCCTGTCTAATACAACTTGGTTAGTTATCTTATCCTTCCAGGAGATTTTTAACATTCTACGGTACGCCCACATCTCAAATGCCTCCAGCTTACCCATACATTGCTTATTTAGTGTCCACGCCTCCACCCCATACAACAGGACCGAGAAAACATAACATTTAAGCATTCGTATTTTCAGCTTTAGGCTTAGGTTACGGCTACACAACATTTGTTTCATATTGTTAAAGGCACTGCGGGCTTTCTCTATTCTTATTTCTCTGGTGTATTCGTTTGACTCGTTAATATTTGTTCCGAGGTAATTGTAATGTAAGGAGTTATATGAAGTCTTAAAGCATGATTTCGGAAAGAATTGGTGTAGAAAAGCATCGAAAAGAGAGAGAATAATGACGATACGAAAGTATTTAGTCAGTATTCTTGACGCTATACTAATGATATCAAAGCCATGCGAATCTGTGCGGAAGGAAACGATCAACTGTTTTCGTTTTTCCGGCCTAACTAACGACTTACAACATACAGGAACCGCATACAACGATATTGCACAAACGCATTTGCAAGATGCCGTTTCCCTTCTCGGTTCTAACTGCTCTGCAGATGACTATGTACGAGTGGATGACGAAATAAGTACGAGCGAAGAACTGTCAGATATTGACATCATACTGAGTCACCAAACTAGTGACAAACCAAGTACTGATGAGGTCGATCAAGAATTAGAAGATTTCAGCAAAATCCCTACTGTTGCTGAAGCGTATGCTGCTTGTTCCACCATAAGAGCATTTATTCAGACTGCTGAAACTTTCCAGAGTGTGAAAGAATCATTATCGATTGTTTCCACATCAATTAAAAAAACGTTTTTTTCAAAAGTTCAAGTAAGGCGACAAACAAAAATTATAAACTGTTTTCATTAAATATTCAGGTAAAATGTTGTATTTACATATATAGCATAATATAAGTATAGATAAATTAACACATTTTGCGTCATAAACCTAGGTACAACGAACTAACTGTTCCTTGAAGTATAATATCTTTTATAGCAACCTGTTCATTATAACCGATAGAACCGCTTACAGAGAACACTGGCTACAACGTATAAAAACCACCAGTATCCTGAAGTTCGTTATAAACGATTTTGACTATATATATATATATATATATATATATATATATATATATATATATATATATATATTTAGTTTGATTGGATTAAATAGTAGTGAAATTATGATGATATAGGTAATAGCAAATAATTGGAAAACAAATGAAATATACAAATTCATACATTACGGCCATTCATCGATGCCATCGTCATGTATTGTATGCCATTTTAATCCATCTCCTATTGGTTCATGCGCAGAAGGCAATAAAACATGTTTCCAGAATGTTCTAAAAAAGGAAAACGACAAAAACCAATAATTGCAGGGATTACTCTTTTCAATAATAAATAATTAATAAAACAAAAAAATATTTGCACTGAAACTTCAGAATGAATACCACATCATAATTGATTTATTAATCTCATCAAGACTTAATTAAAATGAAGACCTCTATTGTAGGAATTTTATTTCGAACTAAAGTAAGTTCCTTGTTATTTTTAATTAAACTGATATAATTATAAAAGTATGCAAATCTCACCTTCCTTGCACTAATCCTAAAAAAATTTTCCAGTTTTTTTTTCTACCAAAATTATAGGGATTAGCATATTTTCTCCCAAGTTCTTTTAAGCGAGCTGTTTCTGCTTTATTGATGTTAGCTTCAATGCAAGTTTCACCTTTACTAATTAATTGCGAGTGCCAAAGCGACAGCATACCTATTGCTAATAAGACACCTAAAAATTAGAAAAAATAAAGGCCTATTCAAAAAGCAACTAAACTAAAAGCCATGTATGAAGACCGATAACTAAGTAAGCGATGATCAGTGGGCCTCAAACAGTGGCTTTAAAATTTAATAATTTCAATCACTTGAAAAGTAAATGATTTAATTTTCTATATTTTATGTTCAGTAACAATGTTTAATTTTGTCCTATTAAAGGCAAATTAACTGAATATAATATTTATAGAAGTGTTGGCAATTCAATAGCGCCCGTCTTTTGATAAGTTTAGTTGATAAGATATTTTCGTGCTCTAAACTTATAAATAAATATATTTATATAAATTAAGAACCGCTCGTTTTATTTAAATACGCTGCAAGGGTGTCACGGTGTGAAGTAAAATATCTATTTAAAATAAATTCAGCAGTGACTTTTGAAAAGTATTGTTCGTCGGGAACACCCGCGTAGTTCGGTAGTGATCTTTGTAAGAAAGAACATTTAAAAAAGTACGTGTGTGCCTGACCAAAGATGCTGCTAGTACACCTTTCAGTAAAACAGTTGCGTGAGCAACTATTCTTTGTTTCAAGCTAAGAAAATAACATTACGCTTATGGAGATCAGTGTTGCCAAAACTCTCAGACACTCTCTTTTGCACGGATGTCCAAGATATTCCCTTTGCTTAATTTTTGAATTTTCATTTTCAATTAACATTTAACTGTAAAGTCAGAATAACTACTAAATAAAAGCCTTATTATCATTATGTAGTCAGAGAACGACATAAAATAGCTGACATACGCACATCGTATTATTTTAAGTTGCAATTAGTAATTAGATATACGCATTCCAAGCCCAAGCGGTCAATATTTTCTACTGATTTCTGATTCATGGCATATCGTATTCTCACCGAAAAACAAATAAACTGTCGTTACTATACTTAACTAAAATAGGATAAAATAAAATTATCTTTTGTAAATACTATTTATCTAATTAAAATCATTTTCCCTACTTTTCATTTCTTATTTCGAATGGGCACTTTTGGTCAATTACGTTAAAAAACATTAATTTAATTCATGTTTGTGGAAACGAAAATACAAATTATTCAACCCTAAATTGTGCTTGTGTGTGTCGTGGCAACGCCGCGTTGCTATCGTCCATAAGAAATACATGGCCCTATCTCCGCAATGTTATTTTCTAAACGTGGAACGTAGTATAGAAGAACGCGATTAAGACTGCAGCGGGTCCATGAAGATCCTCCAAGAACGACTGAAGAAGGTTCTCAACAAGAGTGGAGATGGCCCAGAGACATTCCATTTTCAATCAGCAGAAGAAGCAGTTTTAACGAAGATCGAAGAAACTTCTAGAAAAATGATAATAAATTCGAAAATGTTTCTAGAAGATTCGATGAGAAATTTGAAAATGTCTCGCAAATGTTTGAAGAAACTTCTAGAAAGAATGATGAAAGGTTCGATGAAACGTCTCAAATTATTAAAGAAGCAGCTAGACAAAATGACCAGAAATTCGAAAATGTTTCTAGAAGATTCGACGAGACTTCTCAAATAATTAAAGAAGTATGTAGTCAGAACAATGAGAAATTTGAAGACGTTTCTAGAACATTCGACAAGATACAGAAAAATGCAAACGACAAGATAGAAGACCTAGAAGAGAAGATCAAACAATTAGAGATCATGATAACTAATACGAAAGTGCTACCACCAGTTAATGCAGTAGTTTTAGATCCGGTAGTGAAAGAAGAATCACCTAGAGACGAAACGACACATGATATGAGATTCAAATTACCACCATTTGATGGAAAGTCTTATTGGTCCATATACCTCAGACAATTTGAAGCTATTTCGGCAGCCAATCATTGAACAGACCAACAAAAAGCTGTTTCCTTAACTGCTGCTTTCCGAGGTGATGCTGCGGATATCCTAAGATAAATTCCTAAAGGTCAAGAAAAATGTTACCAGACCTTATTCACCCTACTAGATAAACGTTACGGAGATGCCTATCTACAACAAGTCTACAAAGCACAACTAAGAAGTAGAATTCAACGAGCAAGTGAAAATTTGCAAGAGTTTGAAGCAGATGTTGCTCGTATAGTGCGGTTAGCTTATCCAGAGGCACCAGACAACATTTTGGAAGAAATTGCTGTAGATATCTTAACAAAATGACCAGAAAGTGAATTACAGAAAGCCTTACGACTAGCAAGACCAAAAGTTCTAGATGAAGCGCTCGCTATTGCTTTGGAACATGAAACTGCTAGTCAAACTTCACGGACCCATCGAGTAAGAACCATTGAAGAAGACGACAAACCAAACGATAAACGTCTGGGAGAAAAGTAGTTCATAACACGATGCCGAAGAGACGCAAGCCCAGATGTTGGAATTGTGGTGACGTAGGTCACATTCGCCGTAATTGCAAGAAAACGATACAACAGTCGGCACCTCGAGAAACACAGCCCTCATAGTAACTGTTAACATTACGTGATCCGGTGGAATTCATAGTTTGTACATCGAGGGTCGTATCAGTAATAAATGTAGATCGTTTTTGGTACATAAAGGTGCAACAAGAAGTATTGCACGTCCAGAAGTAGTACGAGGCCATCTTCAATTATCGCCTGCAACAGTAAAGCTTAGAACAGCAACTAGTGAGATAATTAATACATATGGCGAGACTAATATGTCAGTATCCATTGGCCAGACCACAGTAAAACACAGAGTATTAATTGCAGAGATCTCCGACGAGTCCTTATTGGGGATGGATTTACTAAGGAAAGTTGGGGCTGTATTGAATGTCAAAAATATCCCCTTATTTCTCCAAGATAGCAGCCAGGGGACCAGGATGGCGACCCCACAAACTTAAGTTTAGACTTACCCTCCCGCTAAACATAAAAAATGAAACATTTCAATGGACTATCAACATTAATTACTAATTAAGATTACTAAAGAAACTGAAAATTAAATATTATATAAACTTAAACATAATTTAATCAGTTTTAATTATTAATATATCAGGTTTGCGTTTAAATAACATTTTTCATGCCGATTGACCATTTACCTACTATGTAATTCCCACTAAGATATTAAATAATACCAGATCATTTAATTTTTAACCATTAACAAAAATGTAATAATATATGATGGCAAGTATATATTTGATGGTAATATGATCTGCACATAGATGATGATATCGCCGACGTAGTACATATTTCTTTGCCTATAATAGCTTTTAGATAACATGAATCATTTTTCAATGATATTTATGAGAATGGAACCTTATATTTTGATAATAATTGTAATGGCATAACTTTGATTATTTGGTAAACCTACATTACACATCACAAGAAATTTAAAAACATGGTAAGTTAAACTTGTTGAACAGCGCTGATTGATACAATAGAGCAGTAAAATGTTATACATAAAGATGCTGTAATAAACAGGGTGTTTCAAAAAGGTATGTAATAAATTAAATCACGCATTCCGGGGACCGAAATAATTCACGATTGAATCATTTTTAAATTTAAGTATAACATCACATATAGACTAGAAAACTTCAATTTATAGGATACAAATAATATATAACTTAAAAACTAACAGTTTTTATTGAGTTATGGCCCTTTTAATTAACCTTTAAAAAATTACGTGCAACTAAATAAATGACTTAAATTAATTAACAAGTACAAAAATTGTCTATAACCTCTATAAATATGATATTACAATAAATGTTCAAAATGACCCAATGATCCAAAATGATATTTTCTTCACTTTGTGATTTAATTTGTGACATACCTATTTGAAACACCCTGTATACCTTCGCTTACTTGGTCCACTAGTAATAAAGTTATCAGAATTAAATGAGAAACCGGTCTTCATACATGGCTTTTCCTTATAGCAAACTAGCACATACTAGCCAAAATAGCTGCGACCAAGTGCTTTGCATACGAATATCAATAATATAAATGAGAAACCTTAAACAACCAATAATAGTCGTACGTGTAACAATTCTCATACAGTGAACGGCTAAATTATGGAATATCATTATTTCGAAAACCGTCGAGTTTTGATGGAAATCCCGAAACGGGTTGATTTTTGTTATAAAATACCCATCTTATCTTATAACGTACATGGAGTAGGGATAACGTCACCGGTGCACGTATAGTGACGTAATCGTTAATTTCTTTAAATAGAAATCGGTATAATGCGACACCTCATTTAAACAAGAATTTAATTCTCTATTTAACGACATTACATTTTAACTAAAATATTTTTTTAAGGGTACAAAAACAATTGTTTTTAATTTAAATTCAACTAAATTACAACTAATGATTTAATTTATAATGTACTTTAAAGTAACCAAATTATGCATAATAATTTTAAATTAAATGTTCCAAATGCCATAAATAAGGGACTTTTTATTATTCTATAATTTAATTGAATCGGTTATTTGGAAAAAGACAACTGAAAAGACATCCTAAATGAAAATAATCTAAATAATGATCCGAAACTATGTGTATGAATGTGTACTGTATAAAATTGCTAAAAATGGGGTCAAAATTTGTTGGTCAAAGTCAAAATGGGGTTGTTATTAAATATTGTAGTATGGATTTATATGTAATTCATGCGGAATCAAATGGCCCCTTAAAAATGTCCCATGGGCTTGTAGTCTATTATGAGTTCAATAAATTATTGTCAAATATATTTATGTTTATGTTAGAAAGTAACCAAAAGAGCTTATTTTATCTGTGTTTAGAGAAAGTAGAAAATTATAAACAAGTTAGGTCATGTTTTGAGTTTCTTGTGTAAGAGTTCCTTACCATACAAAAAAGGGTCTTTTCAAGGCTTGCTCTATTTCCGATAGCTCTATAGAAGTTGAATTTTAATTATTACTGTTATGTTATGTGAACCTACCTTAATATTTGTAAACCTACCTTAACATGGGTGACAGGTGAAGGACATTGACAGCAGACAAGAAGTGAAGAAGATGGCTCGTTAGATATAATCATGTATTAAGTTTAGTTGGTCTTTAATAAAAGATATTAAAAAGAAACTGGTCGTCAATCTTATTAAAAGCCCACAGAGACAACGTAACATGGTGTCAGAAGTAAAAATTCAGGTCAGATTATAGTAACGAGTATTATAATAGTCATACAAAAGTCGAAACATGGTCTAACAGCACGTGGTGATCTGGTTGGTTTTAAAAGAAATTAATTAAAAACGGTCAAAAGGTAAAGTTCAACCATGTCGGAACAAGATTCTATAGAGCAGAATCAACCTGTCGTTGTAAAAATAAAAAGTAACGTGATAGGAAATGAAATCCAACCGTTGTCAATGCAAGGAAATTTGGCACATAACTGGGGAGAATGGAGCATAAATTTCAAAATATTTTTGAGAGCCACAGGTTTAGAGGAAGAAAACGATGCGAGAAAAGTAGCTTTATTATTGCACTATATTGGTACAGATGCAAGAAATATTTACAAGTCATTTGAGTTTAACATGGATACTGTAACATTTCGAGAAGTTGTAGGGAAATTTGAAAAATACTGTAACCCGAAGAAAAATTTAACAGTAGAAAGACATTATTTTCTTACTAGAGTACAGAAAGATGGTGAAACCATTGAAGATTTCATGACTAGTCTAAAGAATTTGAGTTTAACATGTGAATTAGAAATTTTAAAAGAAAGTTTGGTGTGTGACATGTTCATTATTGGTTTAAATCCTAAATACCATTCAATTAAGCAAAAACTATTGCAAGAAGTAGATCTGAAGACAGAAAAGGTATTACAAATTGCTCAAAATATAATTACAACTCAAATGCAAGCACAACAGTTAAATAAAAATTCAGAAGCAGTGGTATACAAAGTAGAGAAGAATAAAGATAGTCCAGGTCCGAATTTTTCAAATCATTCAAGGTATAGAAATGAAGTCCCAGGTCCAAGTTGGAGAAATGATAGTCAAAGGTACAACATAGATGGTACGAACACAAACAGTCAAAGTCAGGTAACAAGTCAGAATTTTAAATCAAGATATAATGGATATGCAAATCAGAGTAAGAATAGTGAAAATAATCAAGTGGTAAGAAAAGTTTGTCAAAGATGTGGTGAAAATCATAGAAATAAATGTCCAGCATTAGTAGCTATTTGTCATTATTGTAAAAAACAAGGTCATTATGCAAAATGTTGTCAAACTAAAAGAATAAATAATATAAATTTAAGAGAAAGTACAGTACAATCATCTAATAATGAAAATGATTCATGTTTTGTTATTAAAACTATTAGTCAGAATAGTATTAATCAGAATTGGTCAATTGTAGTCAGAATCAATAAAATAAATGTAGTATGTTATTTAGATACAGGTGCACAAGCTAATGTGATGTCAATAAAAATTTTTAATGAGGTTAATGTACAAAAGTTAGAACTGGTACCTACATGTATAAATTTAAAGTCTTTTTCAAATGATGTGATACCTATAGTAGGAAAAGTAAATTTGTTATGTGAAATTGAGAATAGGTTAGAAAGTATTGAGTTCATTATTGTGAATTTGGAGTGTCAAACAATTTTGGGTCTAGATACTTGTCATAAATTAAAATTAATTAAAAGAGTTGGTCTAGTAAGTCATGAGTCTATAATAGAGAAAAATAAACAAGTTTTTGCTGGTCTAGGTTGTCTACCTAATGTATGTCACTTAGAAATTGATAAAAATATTAAACCTATAATAGAACCGCCAAGAAGAATACCTTTTTCTTTACATGATAAATTAAAAGAAGAATTAAATAGAATGTTGTCTACGGGAGTAATAGAAAAAGTCAATGAAGCAAGTGAATGGGTAAATTCAATAGTCTTAGTCGAAAAAAGTAATAAAAGTTTGAGAGTTTGTCTGGATCCCCGTAATTTAAACAAAGCTATAAAAAGATGTCATTATCCTATACCAACATTTAATGAGATTAGGTCAAAATTAGCAAAAGCAAAATATTTTTCAACACTAGATGCACAGTCAGGGTTTTGGATGATACCATTAGATTTAGAGAGTTCTAAGCTATGCACATTTAATACACCCTTTGGAAGGTTTAGATTTACAAGATTACCTTACGGTATAAGCTGCGCTCCTGAGATTTTTCATAAAGTAATGAATGAAATAGTAGGAGACATAGAAGGAGTTTGTTTATATATAGATGATATTTTAATTTATAGTGAAACTTTGGAAGGTCACAATAAAATACTAGAACTAGTACTAGAAAGGGCAAAACAATTCAATTTAAAATTCAATATGGACAAATGCAAATTTCTATTATCAGAGATAAAATATTTGGGTCATATTTTTAGTGCAGAAGGCATATGTCCAGATTCTAGTAAAGTAAGTGCAATTTGTCAAATGTCTATTCCTAACAGTGGAGCTGATATTAGAAGATTTTTGGGAATGATTAATTATTTAGGTGAGTACATAGATAATTTAGCAGAGCGTACAAAAAATTTAAGGTTGTTATTGAAAAAAAATATTAGTTTTCATTGGACAGAAGAGCATGAAAGAGAATTTGAGTCGCTTAAAGAAATGATTAGTCAAACGCCAGTACTAGCATATTTTGATAACAATTTACCTTTAACATTATCAGTTGATAGTTCACAATTTGCAGTTGGTGCAGTGATTTTACAAAACAAAAAACCTATAGCATATGCATCTAAATCTTTGTCACAGGCTCAGTCAAATTATGCACAAATAGAAAAAGAGTTATATGCAATACAGTTCGGATGTACTAGATTTAAACAATACATTTATGGTAGAAAAGTTCAAGTTGAAACAGATCATAAACCATTAGTCAGTCTTTTTAAAAAACCATTATCTGAGGTTCCAGCACGTTTGCAAAGGATGATGCTAAACTTACAGCTTTATGATTTAGAAGTTAGCTATACTCCAGGAAAATTTCTTTTCATCGCAGATACATTAAGTAGGGCACCAGTAGAAGGTCCAGATAATACTGATAGTGGAGATGAAGAGTTACGTATACATGGAAGTTTATTAGTTAACAATTTAGCTGTGTCTTCAAAGAAATTAATGGAAATACAGGCAGCAACCAAAACTGATAGAGTTTTACAGTCAATAATAAGATATTATAATGAAGGTTGGCCAAGTTCGAAAAATAAATTGGAAACGGAGGTTAAACCGTATTACAATTTCAATCATGAAATACATGTTGTGGATGGATTAGTCTTTAGAGGAAATCAAATAATAATTCCTGAGTCATTGCGTCAAGTTATATTAGAAATAATTCATGAAGGTCATTTAGGATATGAAAAATGTATTCGACAAGCACGTACGGTAGTTTTTTGGCCAGGCATGTCAGTAGATATAAAGAATAAAGTTGAACAGTGTCCAGCATGTCTTAAATATCATAGATCAAATAGTCCAGAACAACTATTACCACATGAAATACCAACTTTGCCTTGGCAGAAAATTGGTGTTGATCTTTTTTATTATAGTAAAGTCACATATATATTATTAGTAGATTATTATTCTAAATACTTTGAAATAGCGCCTTTAAATAATACTTCAGCAAAAGAGGTAATTAGTACAATGAAGTCTATATTTGCGAGACATGGAATACCATTGATCTTAATGTCTGATAATGGTCCCCCATTCTCATCAAAAGAGTTTCAGTCATTTTTAGTAGATTGGGACATTACTTATCAAAGTTCTAGTCCTTATTATCCAAAAAGTAATGGTTTGGTAGAGAGGACAGTTCAAACTGTAAAAAATATTTTTAATAAGTGTATAGAGTCAGGCTCTGATCCATATCAGGGAATGTTGCAATACAGAAATACAACGTTAGAATGTGGTTATTCTCCAGCTCAGTTATTAATGTCACGTAATTTAAGAATGAAATTACCTGTTAGTGAAAAAATACTAATACCAAAAACAATTGATAGGAACAAATATAGCAAATTTGTTAAGGAAAAAGAAAGGAAAGTCAAAGAATATCATGATAGGTCAGCTAGAAACTTACCGAATCTGTTTGTTGGAGAAAATGTATTTTATAAAAAGGTTCCATCATCACCGTGGTTACCAGCTACTGTGATAGAAATAGGTCCTTTTCCAAGATCATATGTCGTCAGAACACCTGAAGGTGTACATTATCGTAGGAACAGACAACACATATTAAAGCCTGCCAGTACAATTAGTAGACAAAATAGTGAGATGATAGTTAAGCATGAAAATAGTACAGCAGCTAGTTCCAATTTGTATGAGGCTCCAAATATGAACAACGATACATCAATTTCAAATCAAAGTTATGACAATTTAAATGTTAACTTAAATAGGTCACATAGACTAAATGTAAGTAATCAATTTTGTACCAGGAGTGGTCGAATTGTAAATAGACCTAAAAGGTTTTCATTTTCAGAAGAGTAATGCGGCAGTGTAGTGTTGCGGGTAGATTTAGGTTGTTAGGATAGTTTAGTTTTTTTTGTTAAAAAAAAAGGGGCATGTTATGTTATGTGAACCTACCTTAATATTTGTAAACCTACCTTAACATGGGTGACAGGTGAAGGACATTGACAGCAGACAAGAAGTGAAGAAGATGGCTCGTTAGATATAATCATGTATTAAGTTTAGTTGGTCTTTAATAAAAGATATTAAAAAGAAACTGGTCGTCAATCTTATTAAAAGCCCACAGAGACAACGTAACAATTACTTACCACAATTAATAAGTGCCATGTAAATTATAGCTCTTTTCTTCCACGGATTAATGTATTCATAACTAGATTCTTCATCAAATAGTGAACTATCTAAATATTGTACATCAGTCTAAAAACAAAACAAACTTAAAAAATATTATGATTTACATTCCACATAAACATACCACTGGTATTAGGGCTCCGGTTTTATTAAACTTAACTGGATGTCCTTCTAATTCGGGATCGTCCATATCAGAAGGCGTCAACATTATTGTTGTGTATGCAATATCAAATCCACATGAAATTACAAAAATTACACCTACTATTAAGAATACCATATAAAGAAAAAAATGTCTATGGTTTTTGAACCCGACACAATTATTTATCCAAGCTGTATCTATATTAAGGAAAAATGTTTTATAGTCTAATAATATTGCTACCGCTAGCTTAGTCAGCTCATTCTACACCTTCTAGGGTGCAATAAGCAAGTAAAGAAATAATAAAAAAGTTACACGGGAAAATTTATTACACGTATTTGATAGTTTTAAGTCATAGTTAATGAATAATATGCATTGAGTTACTGGCAGATCAGCCCAATTATTTTTATACAAAAAGGTGAAAGTCAAAAAATGTAGTTTTTGCACGTATCATTTTAAAATTATATTGGGAGCAAGTTTTGTCTTGTCAAACTATCGTGTTACGAAAAGATGGTTAATTTGAATTTTTGGATCGTTTAGAAGTTCAAATCTATCAGTAATTTGTTGAGATAACTATAATTGTTTGCACTATTTAATACTAGGGCTATCCCTTAACACTATCACTGCTCAGCGCATTTTCATGGAAATCATCCGCCGTGCTGACTAGTATATTTTTTTAAATATTTATGAATAAATAAAATACATATTAAATAAAGGGTATTTTACATAAATTTGTAACATTTTATTAGAAAAGAAGAAAAGACTCGGATCCGAGTCGTGAGCATATTCCTTATATTTTCTTTATTTATGCTAAGCGACTCGGATGAGAGTCGTTGATATAAATATTAAAAAAAATTAATTTACAATAATTTTTTATTAAATCAAATGAAAAATATTATAAGAAATCGAGAAATAAGGAAAAAACAAATTTCATTTCCTAGCAAATTGTTTATAAACACATAAGATGAAAACTTCCAAATAAAATTTAATGGTACTTTTTCGTGATGCTCAAATTGCAATGACTTTTATACACTAAAATTAAATAAAAAAAAACATGAAAAAAGTGGAAAAATAATAAAAAAATCCCGAAATTTAAATTTATCTTATTATATTATTTATCTCAAAAACAAGAGTACTGTTTGGAGTTTCGACAAGCGAAATGAAAATCCTAATATTCAACAGCATTGTGACCAGGTACAACCTCTGACTGTTATGCAAATTAGTAATTAGAAAGTCAATATCGGCAAAACCAACTTATTCAAAGTATAGGTACCTTCCTATTATAGTCTTTTATTGAATGATGTCAATTTATTACCCATAACACGTGAAAGTTTTCAAGATATTTATATTTTCAGACTAGAAATTGTTATGGGATATCAGGTAACAATTAAAATATCCTTAAAAAATAAAATTTTTATTTAAACTAATATACTGAAAGCAATCTATCTGTTATTTAAATGGTATTTGCGAAAACAATCTCCTATGCATAGTCCAGGTTTTTCGTCACAATTAGCACACTCGTAAATTGTATTTTTTCTAATTTTATTGATAGAAAATATTCTACATCGTTTCCTTTTTGTTTCTTCCTTTTTGGATTTAGTAGCAATTACTTTGGGCAAATTTTCGTGAACAGGATTACGTTCTTTAGTTTTATTATTTTATAGAGTAATTCGCGAATGACTTCTAGACGTAAATCTGAGAGGGGGAATTTTGTTCCAGAATATTTATTATATATATATATATATATATATATATATATATATATATATATATATATATATATATATATATCGAAAAAAGGCGTTAAGCTACATTAACTGGAAAAAGTGGAGCCCAAGTTTTTTATACCACCTTAACGTTTTTTCTGGAACATGGGTAGTACGACAGCATTTGATCTTGTTTATCTATACGTGCCCTGTACTGGTTATATTTCAATATTGGTAATAGTCTGGCAATATTCCATCCTCTCCTGGTTGTATGCTCAGTCAAAGTATTTGGAAATTCAGAAGATATATACAACCATATCACTTTTGTCATGCCATTTACCAATCATTACTCCATTACAATATTGTACTTTGGTTTCTCCTTAGGATAGTTTAGTATTGGTTGCTTCTGAGGGGTTTCTAATTCGACCTCTAATATACCAGTCCAAAATACATTTCAGGTTAAATAATGGATCTGTTTTCCAATAATCTTCCAATTTTGACATGCATATGTTACCAGTATGGAAAATTAATCCAATAAACACCAAAATTTCTGGTATGGAAAGCGGTTTATATCTAGAAATCCGGCTATGTTGCCGAGCACCAACTTAGGACAAAAATGTTTGTTCAGCATAATAATTGGTTTCATCTAGCACCATATTCAAAAACTCATCATCGAATATCATTCGAAAATAGTCTTGGTTTAGAGTTTTCTAGAGGATCTATCAAAAATCCGTTATTTCTAGTAAAAGGAAATCTCTACATTTCCGAAACCTCATCTGTCCAAACTTCAGCAGTGTTTTATTCTCCTATATCAGCCATACTTTGATATCCTACATTTCAGTAAATATTTCATCATTTGTAGGTACAACAGTAAAATAATTTACTATTTTATTTGGGAATAAAGCCACAATTTAGGTTTAAAATAAAATTCTGACGGATATTCTTAAGTTAAAGTTGATTTCGTGTAATCGTTCACTCATAGCTTAAGAAAAGAGTCATTTTCAGAAGGCTAAGACTCTTCGTCGCTGTCTATGTCGTGATCACTAAATGATTAATTTAGAATTTTAAATAATTCGTCTTGTGTGAATTTTGCACTTTTTAATTTAGGTTTTTAATTCCCGAAGGGCCCGGTTGTAGTTCATCTATATTCGCACACTTTATATTACGATTTAAAAACGAAAAGCATTTTTCAATTATAGAAAGGTATACAAACACGCTCGTCAGAATACAACGTTCTTACTCAAGCGCTAAGAGATTATGACGCGTTTTAATTTGAGACTCCCGTCGACACGGATCCGAGTCATGAGCATACAGAGATAAACACAGCTGACTCGGATCCGAGTCATGAGCAGTGAACGAGTTAAAGGACGGAAGAGGCCAGATAAGCTAGACTTAAGAGTTGCAACTCTCAACGTCGGAAGCATGACAGGTAAAGGAAGAGAACTCGACAATTTCATGCACAGGAGGATTTATGCACTTTGTGTACAGGAAACTCGTTGGAAAGGTGTCGAGAGATCTTGGAGATGGATATAAGTTAATATACACATTTGGAATTTTTTTACGGAACATAGGATTTTTAATACAATAACAACTCACATTCCCTGATTTGCAATTAACCAATGTAAATTTCAATATAACGTCGCGATGTTTTATAACTAATTTATTTATATTGTTCTGAAGCTATTTTCTTGTGGCATTGTAAATTAATTACTATTTATAACTGGGAATAAGCCACAATTAAAGATAAAAATACGTTTATTGACGTTTCAATTTCCAATTCGGAAATCGTTCTCAAAATACAAACAAACTGTTTGTATTTTGAGAACGATTTCCGAATTGGAAATTAAAACGTCAATAAACGTATTTTTATCTTTAATTGTGGCTTATTCCCAGTTATAAATAGTAATTAACTAATTTATTTGTTCCACTGGATTGCCTCTCCTGTGCGGTTTGTATTAGCGTATGTGACACGCCAACAGTGTTGTTCCGTCTACTGGTTTTTCCTGAAAGTCCGGATTTGTGCAGATAATAATGTTTTATTACCATAAATTTTGATTGTGTTCATTAGGTATTATATGAATTATTAAATTTATACTTGAATACATTTATTATTCCAAATATTGTTTCTAATTTCAAATTAAAAAGGGTGTATTATTATTTTATTTTTGAAATTCCTTTTTATTTTTAGAAATCTACTTTTTTCAAGCCGTTTTGGCAATAAAACAACCATTTTTTTAGTTAAATAATATTTTTAATTCCATTCCATAGAGATTTCTGCAGACGAAAAGTGGAGAAGATTTGAATGGACATTATTGGTACAGAAAGAGCGGAAATATAAAGAGTTCATGGAGGTTTGGGAATAAGAAATGATGAAATAAATAGAGTGATTGACTTCGCAGTGTCATGGGATCTGGCTAAAATTAATATGTTCTTTATGAAGACTGTAAAGTGAGAAAGGTATGTAGGAATGTAGCTAGTCAACACCGACCGGTGATAGTGGATACAGAGATAAAGGTGAGGTCGAAAGAAAAGCAAGTAGGACACCAGAAAGTAAAGTGGGGGAACTTAAAGGATGAGGATTTGGCAATAGTCTTTAAGAGTAGAGTACTGGAAGAACTTGAGGAAAAAATACGGCAAATGACTGGTGGGAAGCCAACAATAAAGTTGTGGTGGTAAAGAACCTCCTAGAGACAAAGAAGCTTAGTGGTGGAACTATGAGTTAGAGAGAAGAAAGAGGCTAGAAAAAGGTATTACAGGTCTAAAATAAGGGAATATAAGGATATATACAAGGTGGCAAAGAGGGAAGCAAAGCGCTGTAGCTACTGCTGAGAAAAGATCATCTGCACAGCTGTATGAAGAGTTGGAAACACTGTATGAAGTGTTGGAGGGGAAGAAAAGCTATACAGTATTGCTAAAGCAAGGGAGTAAATAAAGCAAAGATGGTATTAGTACTTAAGTAAATTGCTAAATGAAGAACACCAGAGGAGAGACAAAGAATGCAGGATCCCAAATCAGAATGTAATACCGGGGATAGCGAGAGATGGAATACCTGTGGATATTTGGAAAGCTCTAGGAGAGGAAGGGGTTGATATTTTGTGGCAAATGATGAGTAGGATTTATGAGAAAGACAGGATGCCCAATGCATGGAGAAAGCATGTGATGGCATTGTATAAAGATAAAGGGGACATTCGGGAGTGTAAGAACAATAGAGGGATAAAGTTAATGTTACACACAATAAAAATTGAGAAGAGAATTGTAGACCAAAGGTTAAGGAAAGAGACATCGATAGAGGAAGAACAGTTTGGATTTATGCCAGGAGGGAGGACAACAGATAACTTGTTTGCATTGAGACATTTTATAAAGAAA